GTCGTGGGATCCAGCCCAGCATCAGGTTCCGCACTGAGTATGGAGCCTGCTTGGGATTCTCTCTCTCCCTCTCTCTCTCTACCCCTCCCCCACTCAAAATAAATAAACAAACAAACAAAAAGGATTACAAATTCTCTTTCCTATACCGTCTCCATATTCACCGCGGCTTGCCCGTGATAAATAAACCCTCCGTGCAGAGAACTGCACTTGCCCTCGTAGATGTTATTACCCAAGGTCAGAGGAATACAGCCAGCTGCTACGATTTTCTGATAGGCCTCTCGAATTAGACGGCAGCTGTCCTGAAGGTTGTAAAGATTGACATTCACATCACCTAGATCTGCAACCGAGAGGGACTGGAAGGGGAGAGCCCCCGTGCTAGGGTTGGTTGTCCGAAGCATCACGGATTCTTCCCTGATCCGCCGGGGTCCAAATCTGGAGGAGGAAGAATCATCCTGTGAGCCATCCCTGAAAGGTCAGAGGTCCTACCTCGGCCGGGGTTTCTCAGCCTCTGCACTGCTGATATTTGGGGCTGGATGAATCTTTGATGTGGGGGGCCATGCGGTACATTGTGGGATAGTTCCCCTGGTCTGTAACCGATTAGATGCCAGGAGCAAGTTGTGATAACCAAAAAGTCCTCCAAGAACACCACCAAATGTCCCCTGGGGTCAAAATCATCCCTGATTGAGAATCACTAAAATCCAGGCTGTATACTGAAGAGATTAAAGGCACAGACTTGGAAGCCCACCCATCACCAATTTACTAATTGGCATTAGATAACTTCTTCATCTCCGTGAGCCTCAGTTTCCTAATCTGTAAAATATTTACCTTCCTGGGATGTTATAGGAATGAAGTGAGGTCATCTATGCAAAGCGCCTTGCATTTAGTAGACATTTAATAAATGGTGGCATTTCTACTTCAGATTATTCGTCTATACAGTATTTACATCTGTAAAGTGGCTGAGCCCAATCAGACAGCTGATGCTCACTATTTAGGAAAACAGACTTCACTTCCTCTGCCATGATCTTAGGGAAAAAATGCCTTGGGGCGCCTGCCTGGCTCAGTCCATAGAGTTTACCACCCTTATCTTGGGGTTGTAAATTCCAGCCCCACGATGGGTGTAGAGGTTATTTAAAAATAATTTTTAGGGGCGCCTGGTTGGCTCAGTCTGTTAAACGTCGGACTTTGGCTCAGGTCATGATCTGGCGGTCATGAGTTCGAGCCCCGCGTGGGGCTCTGTGCTGACAGCTCAGGGCCTGGAGCCTGCTTCTGATTCTGTGTGTGTGTGCGTGCGTGTGTGTGTGTGTGTCTCTCTCTCTCTCTCTCTCTCTCTCTCTCTGTCCCTTCCCCACTCATGCTCTGTCTCCCATTCTCTCTCAAAAATGAGTAAATGTTTAAAAAAATTAAGAATTTAAAAACTAATATATATTTTTTTAACCTTAAAAAAAAAAAAA